TTATAAATGCATATGTGTGTATGTGTGAGTTTATTTATTTATTGTATCATTAAAGTGTNAAATGCATATGTGTGTATGTGTGAGTTTATTTATTTAATGTATCATTAAAGTAGTATTGCTCATGATAAAATCATTATCTTTCTCATACTTTAAACTGTAAACCGGGTCCATTTCTAACAACCACTTTGAAAACTTTTCTCGCTGAATTTCGCTGGAAAACGAGCGTTTAATCTTATCGACATTTGTCGTCTTTATTTCTTCCTGTGATGTAAAAGGTTCATTTATTATTGAACTTTCCATCGTTATTTCCTCTTCCTGAGATATAGAGGGTTCGCTAGAGCACTCTGTATCATATCATTTTCTTCGGGTATTAAGGATGTAATTGGATCAGTTTTTACTATAGGATGGGCTTTTCCCAAGTGACGAAACAATGACTTTCTATGCTTTTACTTTTTTTCTACTTCGACACGGTTTTGATTAGCTATTTCTTGAAGAGGTATCACCAGCGGTGACATATATGCACGCACAAAATTTTCCGATTTCTCAACATTTCTATGAATTAACTGTATTTAATTTTTTATGTTTTGTTTAGAGCGTATGATTTCTTTCAACTCTTTATCAGACATATTGATATTAACTAAACATATATCAGTATGAGTAGTCTTTTTATACTCGCGTCATTTTTATGAACACACCAAGCCCACATCGATATCGACCATTTTTGAGATCATCATCTTTGACTATAGTAATGAAACTATACCGTCCTTTATTCTAACATTGTGAACACATTGCTTTGAATTCATTAAAATTCATATCACTGGGATAATGATCTTTATAAACGTGTTTGAGATTTGTTTCATCTTGTTTGTACAGTATAATCATATTAATGTTAGCTCTTATCAGTTGTTTAGGAATTCTAGAATACGTCTGTGTTAAATAAAAACTATCAATACCATTGTGTAACCCTCGGAAAAAATAAGATATAAATTTATTTTTCACAAATTACATCATCGAATACAAACACAGAGTTTGCTTCTAATTTTTTGGGTGGAGTTACGTCTTCACTGCTGGTGAACATAGATAATTTTACCACATTATCCATAATATTACCTAATAATTTATATTTATGCTGATCCGCAGTTTTTGTATAAACGTATAGATGCTCAACCCTCAAACCATTTCCCTCAGTTAATAATTTAAACATAACATTTGTTTTACCGCAATTTGATGGTCTACATATTATGCATCTAATTGTGTTGGTTAACAGTGGACCATGTTTATAATCGATGAGGTTTGTAAGATCCACGACATTCTCGACTGATAGAGTATGTTTCTGTTTCTGAAAAAAAATTATTAGGGCACGTTATTACTAGTCAAATGAATGACTATAAATGATGAAAATCTCAAAAAACCTTTACAGTTTATTATGAAAATGGTACGAATAAGACGTGCGATGAATCGAAGTGTAGGACGCGGTATTTTTCATTCAATAATTAGTCGATTGCCCATTGAAATACATGATCCAGGGTATCAGTATTGGAGACCAGGTACAAAACTTAATAGATGACTAACTCGTGGTAATCCTGGAATAAATAAACTCGATGCAGCGTGTCGTGAACATGATATTGCGTGTGCAAGAACAAATGATTTATCGGAACGGCATTTGGCTGATTACGAATCGGAAAAACGTGCTTGGGACTGCGTAAAAGCGAACGGTAGTTCATTTGGAGAAAAAGCTGTTGCATATGCTATTACATATACCATGAAAGCTAAAAGAAAAATTGGAATGGGCTTTGGATGGTGTATTATGAGTTGAACGTAAAGCTATGCGTAATTCAAAAGATATTAACAGTGCGGCAAGCTTAGCATTAGCGGCCGCTCGTGTTGCCGTAAAGAGAAAACAAAAATTTAAAACACTTCGCACTATCAAAGTACATAAATTTGATGGTGTGCTGCCACTCATTCCTATTTTTGCTGGAATTTCAGCTTTAGGATCGCTGGCTGATTGAGTATCGAGTATTGTAAGAGCTGCACACGAAGTCAGAAAAAAAGCTAATTTGAATAAACCAGTGAAAATCGGTAATACATTATACTTGTATCCATTTGCTGGGAAGAAGGGTGGAGGATTCTATTTGATACATCAAAAAAACTAGCGTTGACACTATCCAAGCGACGTGCACTCAGAAATTTAGATATTATATAACAGGCATGGGCAAATCAAAGTTACTAAAGAGGCACTTCCATTTTTTTAAATGTAATTTTTTCCAAAAGCTTATGTCAATCTCTTTTGTAGATAAACTTTAAAATTGTATGTTGCAATTTGAAAATGTAGCGCGGGCCAAATAAAAATAGCTCGCGGGCCGCTAGTTGCCCACCCCTGTTATATAATATGCTGAGTCATTCGGAATCAGTCATTTCTGCGGTGTCTTTTCGAGAGATAAGTTGCCTGTCAAACCCAAAATATACGAGAGTGAAGTTTTTAAATTGGACATGTGGAAAAGGAACGCATTATTTCGTTATAATTATTTACAAATCACCTTCATGCTAAGTCATAAAAAAATCGTATGTATTTTTGGAGATAATTCAAAAGAAAACTAAATTGATCTACAACCACAATTGCCTATTTAATACTAAACATTTATTGTTAATTAGTAAAAATAAAATTTTACCAATATTTTCCATAATAGCTTAGTTAGATAGTAAAAGTACGTAATAATCGTAACTGTGTAAATGTAGTACGATTTATAAATTTGCTTATTAAATTAATTAAATTTTCTTGCGAGTATTAGAAGAGTAGTGTGGTAGCGTTTCTAAGTTGTTGAACACGAAGTGTGAAGACCAGAGTTCGAATCCCACAATTTTTTTTTTACTTAATTTTTTCGATAAAACCATAAATTATTAGATTTGTGTAACTGAAAACAATTTTGAATTTTAAAAATAATAACAAAGTGCAAAAAATTTACGATTTTTTATTCGGAAGGTATTTTACAACCATCATGTCATCGATAGGAAGGTGGTCACTCGACTTTAGATATTAATACAGAAGAAACCATATTGGAAATAGTTCGAGAAAACCCAGAAACTAGTATGCGAAAGATTGGTGTGGAAATTAATATTAACCACACGAGTGTCTGGAAAGTCTTAGATAGCAATAAACTGTACCCTACCACCGGCAAAAAGTACAAGAGTTGTTACCTAGGGATTTTCCATTAAGGTTCAAAAATAACTTTTCCGTTCAGAAAATGAACTTTAATAAATAATTTTATTTATTAGATTGAATTTTTCTCGTGATATGTTAATTTGAGTTATAACTAATACAATTTTTTGAAATAAAATTTTATTTACGGATGAAGCTTCTTTACCAAAGATGGTATTATTAATTTACAGAACCTGCACCACTGGTCTGAAGAAAATCCTCACGTTATATAACAGGGTCACAATAAAAATTTTCCATCAACATTTGGTGTGGTATTNCGCATATAACAGGGTCACAATAAAAATTTTCCATCAACATTTGGTGTGGTATTGTTGATAATTATTTAGTTGCCTTTTCGTTTTACCAGACAGGTTAAATGGGCAAACTTACTTAAACTTTATAAGAAAAGATTTACCAAATTTATTGGAAGTTGTGCCGCATGAGATTCAATAAACATTGTGGTTTATGATGAACTGTGCCTCACCACATCATACTAATGCTGTTAGAGAGCAACTATTTTTTATGTTTCCTGAGGGTAAAATTGGCAGGGAAGCAGGAAATTGAACCCATCACAGACCGAATATCATATGGCCACCACGAATCCCTGACCTAATACCTTGTGATTTTTTTTATGTGGTTATTTAAAAGAAAAAGTTTATTTTAGTGAGGTTAGAACCAAAGAAGAATTAATAGCTAGAATTTTTGAAGCTGGAAGAAGTATCACCGTAGTTCCAGATGTTTACGAAAAAATAAGAGGAGTATATGTTTAGCGTTGATAATGGTAACATTGTTTCCGAAATACGTATCCACGACTTTTCATTAATTTTTTTGTGGCTTTGAGCTTAATATTTTTAATATTTTTTAGTTTTTTAAATTAATAATATTTTTAATATAGTTTTAATTTTACTTAATAAGAGGATCCATGAAATAGCGTTTTCAATTATATGCTCAAAAACAAGGAGGTCATATTGAAGAGTATTTAAATTCATCGGACGGTGATTTCTAAATAATTATAACGAAATAAAAAAAAAAAACTAATGATTAAAATTATTTTTATTGGATTTTTTTATTTAGGTGATCACACGATTCATTCTTACCATTATTATTACTGAAAGTACAAGTAATAATTATAAAAAAAAACAATAAAGTCAATTAATTTTTTTCCATTTTTTCAGCATGAAAAACTCATTAAAATAAAAAATAAACAATACTATGGAATTTATCTTAAAATTCTAATACAAATTGATATGTAATACTAAAATTTTGGCTCAAGTCATTTTAAGGGGTAATATGAGGGAAAATGACCAATTTTTTGGACAAAATTGAGTAACCCCTCAATTTGTGTGAGTATTTTGCGAGAAATATCGTGGTATGATTTATTTTTAATTTTAGAGAAATTCGGGGGGGTTATTCCAAAATTCCTCCTATTTTGGAAAAAAAACGAGGTCNAGGGGTTATTCCAAAATTCCTCTTATTTTGGAAAAAAAACGAGGTCCTATTTTATACTCCACTAGGATACTCACTCATATATTACTATGGTTCGAAAGATTTACACCCTATATAATTATAATCAGAAACAAAAATATAACACAAACCTTNGGGGGTTATTCCAAAATTCCTCCTATTTTGGAAAAAAAACGAGGTCCTATTTTATACTCACTCATATATTACTATGGTTCGAAAGATTTACACCCTATATAATTATAATCAGAAACAAAAATATAACACAAACCTTTGCAGTCAACTGTCTTTAAAGTTTTTAAAATCACAATGCTCAAATCGCTGACTTACGCTGCATGAAACAATGTCGGAAGTCGCATCAAGTTTTTTTTCACCGATAGAATTTACTGAAGAACCAGAGGTTGCGTTGTTGGAATTTTACGGATGTAGTTCAATACCAAATATTGACAAGTCAAACAATACATTCACTTTGATAAATACAAATAACGAGCTTCTTGAAAATAACATACAAATTAAAGTGCCTGAAGGAACTTATAAACTTGGATATATTAGTAAATATCTAGAAAAACGTCTTCAGTCGTAAAAAAGTCTCATTCATGTTGAAAGCTAATAAAAACACTTTAAAATCTGAATTAAAGTGTAGTCGACAGATAGATTTTAGCGTTGAAAATAGTATTGGCGGTATTTTAGGCTTTCATCGAAAGATGCACGACGTAAATAAAATATGTATTCGGATCAAGTTGCTAGCATAATTAATTTAACTAGTATAAAAATAAATTATAACGCTGCTTATGGTGCTATTAACAACGGAATTCCGAATCATACGGTTCACGAGTTTAATTCAGGAGTGCCAGCTGGTTACCGCATTGTTGAAAATACTTAAAGCCGTGGGGGACGGCTTCCGTGGCCGCACTCGTACACGATGTACCGTCGTTGAGGTTTTCCCTGTGAGGAAGAACCGACCAACCAATCACGTGCGGGTGCAGCGACGGGGACACCAGCGTAATGTCCACCACCGAGCTCGAAGGGTAACCCTCGAACGTCGGGGTGGAGCCCCTGTTGGCCGACATCAAGTCCAACGGGTCCTCGCCGCGCTGGTTCGTGTCTGCCGACCTCCAGACCTGGGAGTGAACGTTGAAATCTCCGGCCACGAGCTCCCCGTAATAAAGTATTTCCGGAATACTTTCAAAAGTTAAGTTGAAAAAATTAGTTTTTTGTGAAAAAGTTGTCATATTGAGTCCCCCCTTTAGGCAGTTAAAGGGTCAGATTTCTAAAAAAAATATACAAAATGATAAGTAAGTACTTCACGTATCTATTTATAAAAAAAAATATATTTATTTGGTCATTTTTAAAAAAGTTATGACAGTTTTAATTTAAAAAAATTAATGAAATGTCGAAAATTTGTGATTTTTTAATTTGTAATTTTTTTAGAGATTTCCCCATTTACGGGAAACGAGAGAAATTTTTTCCATTTTTGAGGATAATGTCTTCGATTAGATACAATTTGTGATATTTTGACGTGTTGTTGATAGAAATTGTTTCAGTGAGAGTTCAGAAAAAGTGGTAACAGACAAAAAAAACACATCATAGAAAAATGAATATCTTCTCAGCTTCGCACCGAAGCTCAAAAAAAATTTTCAACGACAATTATTCTATCACAAATCGGCTGTTAGCAAAAAAAATACTTTATTTCGATTTTTAAAATGTTCCGGGACGTATATGTTCATCAAACCTATATCATAAAAATAGTTTTTGATGACAAAATAAAAATATTTTTACTATTATTCTGAATTATACATACTAATTTGATGGCACTTTATACATATACACATTACAGAGTCTCCAAGGTCGGCTTACCGCCCCGTGCCTGAAAATAGTGTAAAAACCTAATTTGTATCTGACTGTAATTAATAGACACTTCGACTTCGTATTCATCGTGGGTGGGATTACTAACTCGTTGCCTCAGTGTGCTATTAAAGGTGCTTACCAATTAATTTGTTTTTATTCCTCAACCTACATTTATTTCTTTATATCTACTTGTCTTTATTGATCTGAACCCTTGAACTATATAACTCCGATACCACCTTGCACCACTTTAACTCTCTTATTGAGTTACTACAAAGTGACGCACAACAACAAAATTGGTTAAATTTTACCAAGGGTCTTTTTCGAACATTATTAATAAATAAAGTGTGTATTATTTTTGGGACTTATTTCAAATATTGATTGACAAAAATTATTCAATTTCACGCATAAACTTATTTTAAAAAATATTTGTATATACACAGAATGGAACAGATATAACTGACAACTCATATAACTTATGATCTACCTAACATATTGTAATTTTTTTTTAATCAATTTGTACAATATAGAACTATATTTAAAATATATTATGTTATTTTTTGCAATTAAAAAAATATTTTAAAAATTAATTTTTTTATTAACATTTTTTTTTAAGATTTGAAGATAGCCATTTTATAAATAAGTTTCAAAGAAAAATTTTGATACCAAAAATTCTTATTTTAATTCAGTAGTTATGTTATACAGCATTCTAAAATTTTGATTTCAGAATGCTGTATAACATAACTTATTCACTTATTTCACTTATTCACTACTATTGACGTTTAAATTTATGGAACATGAACCTATTAAAATAAAAATTCAATTTGTTTTAGAAAACGTATTTATAATTTTTTAATAAACTTAATATTACTACTACTTGTTTGTACATGTCAATTACAAATACTTATTTAAGTGCTAATAATTTACAAGAAAAAAAATGGCGTACTTTTAGCAGTAAATAACATAATAAGTGTTTACTTTCGTACTTTACATAATATGGACTAACATTTGATACCATAGGGAATATTGTAAGAAAAAAAACCAAAATTTAACTTATTTCAAAATGCTGCATAAACGTAACTGTTGAATCAAAATAAGACTTTTTGGTATCAAAGTTTTTCTTTAAAACTTATCTATAAAATGGCTATCTTCAAATCTTAAAAAAAATTTTAATAAAAAAATAAATTTTTTTTAATTGCAAAAAATGACATAAAATATATTTTAAATAAGTTCTATATTGTTCAAATTGATTAAAAAAAAATATATAAAATGTCATATAGATCATAAATTATATAAGTTGTCAGTTAGATCTGTTTCATTCTGTATAATATATTCTGTATGAGAATAGCATTGATTAAATTATTATTGAGTATTATAAAATTATTTTACACACATATAACTTTAAAAAAAATAAAAATTTTTTTAGATATGCGTAAATCCCAATATCAGAGGAAACAAGTGATATTATTATAGAAGGTGTGCCAAAATAGCATAGGTCTACTTTAGATTGGATAAATAAATAATAAAAAAAAAAGTCTGAGTTAATTAGAGAAAAAAAATGAACAACGATAAGAATTTTCTGATTTGAAAATAACTCTAATTTGACATTTTATAGCAGAAGGAAGAAAAAATCCTGAGAATATAGTCAAAACCTCAATAATTAACAATTTTATCATATGTAATAAAAAATTATTTTTTAAACAAAATACATCTTCAGATGGTATAAATTATCGAATAATTCATTTTTAAAAACATTTAATAGAGGAGCTAATATAAATAATTGGAATGAAAAAGACAAACTCCAATATTTAGTTGCATTTATAAAATGCTCAGACTTAACTTTTTATTATAATTGAAGAATTATTCTTATTTCAACTAATTATTGATAAATTATCATTGAAATAATTGATTAAATTTTAAAATAAAATGTCATATCACAAGAAAAAATATATATATATAAATATAAGAAATATATTTAATTTTGAATTCACCAGTTATTAATTACTTTTTAGGACCATCCCATATACCTCTTTAGGAAAAGTGCCGTCGGAATACATCTAACGATAAAAAAAGTCATACTGACAACTTACCCTCAATATTCAATAAATATCGTTATCACTTCCAAAGTACTGGTCTTAAATTTGTTATCAATAAGTGTTTTTCTTTATTAGATCATTTACAATTTTAGAAGCTAGTTAAATGTGTATGATAGCTTTACTTCAGTTTTTATTACAAATTATTTAGTTTAAATTTACATGTAATTTGTAGTTTTACATCTTTCTACTTTTTGAAATAATTAAATTATCTACAAGATGAACATTTTTTTTAATTGTAAAAAATGACATAAAATATAATTTAATTATAGTTCTATATTGTTCAAATTGATTAAAAAAAAAAAGTATAAAATGTCATATAGATCATAAGTTATATAAGTTTTTTAACATTTTTTTAAATTATAATTGTTTTAATTAAACATACATTCGTGAAATTATTAATTTTATCAAGTTATCTCAGCTTATAATATGAATAAGTAAATAAAGTTCTTGTATAATTATAAAGAATAATGCAGTTATCTCAATAATTGTAAAATGGTAAATCTTTCTTTGTATTTTTTTAACACTCGCCACGTGTTATTATCTCGCGTATTCCGTCGTCTATGGCCTTGAGACTAGATGGTCGTAACGCATTCACCCCACCCCGCTCACCGCTCGTCGACAACAATATTTTCCTGTATAATTTTATATTTTTAGTTTTCGTACTCGTACACTAGAGTGTCCCTTATTTTTAAAATGTTGAAAAGTCCTAACTCTTACTCCCCAAATTTTTGTGTATACATGTAAAAAATACCTTTAAAAAATTTCAGGTCTATCAGACAACTTTTACCCGTGCCGACTTGGAGTTCAAAATCGACCGAAAGAGGTAGTTTTTTAGTCTTTTGCAATTAACTTGAGAATTTGTACTCCTACAAAAAAAATCATTGAAGTTAAATTGTAGATCTAATTGTTTAGCATAATTTATATTCTTACAATTTTTCTTCTAAATCCATTATTTTTCGATAAAAATTATATAAAATGTATTAATTGTTGATATTACCGAAATTAGGATATTTACAAATATTTTGTCTTATCTGGCGAGTATTTTATGATAAAGCTTAATATTTCATACAAAAATTGTTTAAAATGAAGTTTTCCATACAAATCGTTATTAACTTATTTTTTATTTGACAGTTCGTTTCATTGTTACAGATAAAATAATTCTAAAATATTGTCTAATAATTCTAAATTTAGGTTTTTTTAAATAGGATCCACTTCATTGGAGTGCTAATGATAGCTATTTACTTGCAAGAGAAATTGTTAATTCATTAAATGTTGTGAATGACTCGGCAGAGAGAGAGCAGTAAAACTCATGGAAGAATATCATGGCACTTTAACTGCTAACGATGAAAAGGCTGAATTACTATTGCGTTATGTCCAAGAACACAGACGACTTTACCCTAATTGTAACAAATTTTATCGAAAAATAATGGATTTAGAAGAAAAATTGTAAGAATATAAATTATGCTANGAGACATTAGAAAACGATTTTGAATCATGATATTTAGCGTAATTACAATATTACTCAAGATATTTTGAAATAAAATTATACTTAGAATTATTTTATCTGTAACAATGAAACGTACTGTCAATTAAAGAATAAGTTAATAACCATTTGTATGGAAAACTTCATTTTAAACA